GCCCTTCTGCCCTTTCCACCACCCAAACTCCACAAGTCGCTTCTGGGATTACTGCTTGCCCTCCTTCCTCGCCAGACTCTGGCCTCATCCCCACCTGTCTGATGTAGACCCTGCCATCAGTTTTGCTGAGGCTTCCTCCCAAACCTTCAATGGCTCCCCATGCCTACAGTGTCCAGCTTGGACCCTCAACTTGGCCTTCAGCATCTCCATCATCTGGTCTCTGGCCTCTGTGCCCACTGCTCCCCTTGTGCCCGGGGCGATGACCTTCAGTCTTGGGATGCTGTCTCCACGTGGCCTGCTCATCCCAATTCCAGATTTGGCCTGTTAGGCCTAGTTCATTCCTTGCCCATGCACAGCTTTGTGGTCACAGATGGGATCCCAGGTAGTGAGCATGCCTTCCTCTGAAGGGTAGGTGGCCCGTGTGCCTGCCCCGGTCAGAGGATCCATGCAGAGGAGAATGCCAACCCTGCCACTTCCTGGAAGTGTGAACTTAGGGAAGGGAGCCTCGGTTTTCTCATCTATAAAACGGGAACGATGACCCCTCCACAGGATCCAAAGCTCTTGGCCGTGCAGATCACAGAGACGACATGAAATACACTTCAGCTATGATTCCCATGATCCACATTGTAATTACTTCATACAGCGAACATGTTAAGCACCAAGCCACCAGCGGGTAGCAAGATGACCAAATATGTCGCATGAAAATATTAGAAACACCACCAACCCAACTTAAATATGGGAAACTGAGGCCCGGGGTCCCAAAGCCAGATAACGGCAGAGCTGGACTAGAAGAAGCCAGATCTCCTGTTTTCCAAGCCAGAATTCTTCTGCCGCAAGTGACCGCTGCTGAGAGTCAAGTTCAAACACCGAACTTTAAATATGATCTTCTCAAAGGACACAGAGAGCCTCAGCCACATGTAAGAATCTTTATTACTTGTTGTCACTTTTAACTTTCCCCAGTTTAATGCTCCTATGTGCCTTTAGAGAACGCCTCGGGGGG